AAAATGATACGGTATGCAGATTGGGTATAGTAATTATTTTTTTTTGCATTTCTCCATAAACCTATATAATAATCTACATATAATAGATTTTTTCGGTCAGAATTAAAAAATCATGCATTTAAGGGTTAAGTCCCTGTCTACCCCTTGATTTACTCATCAAGTGCAGTTTGGAAATAAGCCAATTTAAAGCGTATATCCTTCTTAAGTGCAATTTTAACAGTAAATTTTATTGAGTTTTTCTTTTTTGACGTTGCAACCCAGATATCTAAACGGGATTTCTGCGCGCTTCCTTGAAGAACGCCCACCATCCCGTTTCAGTTGTTTTCCTTACAGAAAACTGTCTGTGTTGCGAAACGTATATGGAAAATCGTAATACGTGCATGGTTACAACATTCCGTGGATAAATATAGAACACCTGCAGACATCTGAACGATCCAATCGATAATGTTGGCGCGTGTTTGCGAATTCTCGCGTACGAGAGAGCAACGCGTGGCTACGTGACCGAAAACAGAAAGACCTGGATATGCAACATGTCTATAGAACCTAAGATGGATCTTCCTTCGACATCTTTTTTTTATATTCACTTCAAGATTTTCCAAGTCCTTCTTTCAACACTTTCGCGGTTACTTTGTTCACTTTTCTGAAACTGGAAGAGACTACAGTATCTAAACTTGACATCGGCACTTTTTAGATCATCTTCATTTTACAAAATAATGTAACTTTAAATTATGTATAAAAAAATTTAAATTTTATTTGAAATTTTGAAACTCGCATAGTTCTCTATTAAACAAATAGAGAATATATAATTTTTCAAACTGATGTGACTGTAATACACGAAATATGTTGCAACTTGATAACCATGCGTTTGCTTCGAGAAGATTTCTCCTAATTGGGGAATTGAATAATTCACAGAATCGCCAAAATTCTGGAACACGTAACACATGCCCACATTTCAAATAAAATTAAAATTTTGAAACTCGCATAGTTCTCTATTAAACAAATAGAGAATATATAATTTTTCAAACTGATGTGACTGTAATACACGAAATATGTTGCAACTTGAAAACCATGTGTTTGCTTCGAGAAGATTTTCACTAATTAGGGAATTGAATAATTCACAGAATCGCCAAAATTCTGAAACGCGTAACACACGCCCACTCGCATCCTCGATGGAACTCGTTGCGTTAGTTTCCATGACGCAGTGATTTAATTGAATTGCGTCAATAAACGTGATCATCCGCGACACGAAATTGATGATGTCGTAGCGGCGACGTATTTGTTGTACCTAAAATCACATGAGATCGACACCATTCTGCCTTATTTGCACGTATTCTTGATAATAACGAACGAGTTACTACCGTTTCGAACTAGTGAATTTCATCCAAACGAGTCTTACCCAACATCCTATTGTTCCCCGTATTTATAGAGCACGCGTTTCATTATCTAACTTACGAAAGATGATAATTAACTTCATAATTATTGGTAGGTTGAATGACTCGATTAAGTATTAATTATACGCCATCAATGATAAACGCGCAAAAGAAATTAAAGAAAATTCAAAAGAAAATTAATATTATATTAAATTTTCAAAGTTCTAAGTAGAAAATTAAACCCTAGGGTAATTGTTTCATTTAAGTATCATTTGATCAAATTTATTATGCAACATTTTAAATTAGTTAAAAATTTTGCAGCCCTATAATCCAAGAGGGTTAAATTAAAAATGGCCATTATCTTTGGGAATTTAACGTGTTAAGAAATCATACAATTCTTCGATTTCACAAATATACCACAAAATTGATTAAGATTCACGAGGATGACTGTCGCAGACTTTATCTATCCAACTCGATCTGTCGAAAGAAGGAATCAGTGCAACTTCGAAGACGTTTTAAAAAGAAAAAAAGGTTGCTCAATTTCCAAGTTAAATTCAACATCGTACGACCACGTACGACCGAACGCGTCACACGTTCGCACTGATGGTGCTCAAATAAATCCGTGCTGATCGATCTGCAGTGTCAATGGCCGATGCGATGCTTCAAGCGGCCAAGATACGAAACCGTGTGTTATACTGCGGCTCGAAGAATCACTCGATTGCTATGAACCAGCCAATATAACTGGTGGTACAAGCGAAAGAACGATGATTCTTTGCGGAAAAGCAAGTCGAAAATGTATAATAGAATAACATTTTTCTATGGAATGCCATCACAGTAGAAAGGACCATATATGGTCAGACATCACACAATTGCAATTGAAAGGTTAAATGCAAGACACAGGCAGCTCTATTTTTTGTAGAAATTAAGATTTTATTATAATTTGTAAGAAAGATCATTTGTTTATTTTAGTTATTGTAAAATTAGTAAAAATTAATTTTTAATTACTTCTATTTTTCTAATTGACCTTTTCACTTGCAATCTTGTATAACTAATACCATTTGATATATTAGTTCATGAATTATAAGAAAATATCTGATTACACTCGAACCTACTTGCAATATACTTGAATCTCATCTCTAATAATAAAACACTGAAATCTGAATATCAGTAAAGGAAGGCTCATGCAAATGAACTGTACCCTATACTTTTATCATTTAAAATCACTACGTTCGAAGTTGTACCACCAGTTACATGACAGCCTGTGTACACCATGTCCCCGGTCTATTCTTGATCTCCCGTAAGTGTTTATGACCCAGCGTGCTGACACATTCGTGAAAGTCACTCGTTACGAGCTTCTGAACGAGCAACTTGAATAATACACGTAAACGTCACTCCCCTTGACAATAGAAGTCACGAATATCAATGTAACTCACGCCCGTGCCACGTTCCTTTTAAAATCACTGTCCTTCGCTGTTACAACCATAATCTGATAAAAGTCAAGGTGTATGGCAATCTTTTTTTTTATTTCAATTCTTTGCACCTTTATAAAATACGTTCTTGTCTTATTGCTTCATCGATGGCGTTAATACAAAATGAACTTGATTCAATATTACATCACCCATGATATCGTCTTTGTGATAGATTATAATTTCGATAAATTGTGATCAACTTGTAATTACTCGATGATTAATTTATCGATTGATTTTGCCGATTCCCTGATGATGTCTTAATCAATTCATTAAGAATCTAATACAATCGAACATTCAAACGAACGGAACTTTTGAATACAATTAATATTATAATAGCAATGCGAGGTAGAAAATAGAAAGCCTAATCCCTAATTAATTCTTGTTAAAGAGTGTCATGTCACGCACAGCCATTAACACTGTATTAATCCTCGCATGGCGGACCACGGAGAGAGCCCCAAGTGTAATGTAAGTAATTTTGTGTTTTACATTATTTTCATTTTCTAAATTTTACACCGTTACTTTAAAAATTATTTTCTCAATTAACGAAACCCTTTCGCTTAAAAATTATACATTTAACTTTAGGTCAAAATAACCCAGGCTGCGCCGTTCGAGAATTAATCAATGTATTAACAGTGGTGGTCAGCGGAGGCATAACTTTTGGATAATTGAATAATTAATAAAAGACGAAAGAATGTAAATTTTGATTAGTGTTAATATTGTATAAATAATGCAAGGTACCAATCTAAAATTTTAAACGGAAGTCACCGTGTTAATAACTGGTACTAATTTGTCCGGCTACAGATATCCATTTTCACTCTGGCAATTTACATGTTAAATTCCAAACGAATTCTTTCACATACGAGAACGATATTTATATGCTCGTTTAACTGATATAAATGGTCGACGACGTTAAAACGATCCTACGTTCTCTATCTTATCTCTGCTGCGGCCATGAATTTTTTGGCAATGTACGGACCTTCGAGACGTTATAAGTCATATCTAGATAAGTCTAATTATCAATGTCGGCTGAGAAAGGTAGAAACGGTAAACCTCGGGAGGAACAAAGAGAGAGGGCTACATCAAAATCGAACACCTGTGATATTCCTGATAACAGCCTTGTAGTTTTCCGTGTTACCAAGAAATATATTCATAGGTATTATTTTCTTCTCAAGAATTGTAGAATTTGTGCAATTTTAGCACCTCGACTTTTTTTTTATATAAATACTCTTGGAATGTTCGGTAAATTAAACTAACGCAATGTAATTAACACGTTGACCGGCGCAGTAGAAATAGCCATAACTGGTCGGACACGCGATAAAATCAATTACCGAAAGTATTAAAAATTCTTCCCAAAATTTAAATAAAATATTTGTTCGCGGTTATGATAATTTAGAAATTTTCTTAAATAATATTGAATTAGTAAAGCTATGTCCATCTGCACGACCATTGATCAGGAAGACGTGTTGTTCGATTCGACGATTTCATTTATGAATGAAAATCGAGCATTCATATTTATAAACTGATATTTCAGTAAAGATTATACATTTTACCAACTTCCGGTTTAACGTGACATTTGTCTATTGGGATTACGTCTATGGAGCGTTGTAATACTGCAAAAGTCTTTGTTTATTATTCTCTATTTATAAAATAGGTGGATATTACGTGTGCAATTACGTATTAGAAGGAAGGTTTGCTTTGCGCTTGCTTGTTATTTTGAGAGTTCCAATAATGCTCCAACAATGAATATTATATATCCGTACTACACGAGTCACGCGAACATCAGTTTAGCCTACTTAATAAATGCTCTGGATGCTTATTTGTAGACTCATGTGAATATTTTTCATTTCACATCTGAATATTTTTGGATGGCATTTGGTTGAATAATAACGACAAGGTCGATACCATGGACGCTCACCTGCCCTTTTAACTCTTCTACTTCTTATTTAAAAACTAACACTAGTTGTATAACAATTAAATAAAATACAAAATTCTTTTATACCCGTATAAAGATTTAAAAGTACAAAAAAATAGTAATGTACCTTTATTTCTTCGTTAAAATCTTAGAATATAATGTTTCTAAATGATAATGTTTTACTTTTCACAAAATTCCCAGTTGCGAATAATTATATTTTAAAAGTAACAAATAATATTGTTATCTTACCTTTCGTATTTCACTTGCATAGAATGAGCGGAGTTGTCCTCCCAATAATTCTGTGTCTCCATCATCTTGCCGCATAGAATCGTTTCCAGTACCTACACAGCGCGATCACTTCCGATTTCCCGTGACTCCTACCGCTTCCTCTGCTCCAACTTCTTCTGTCTTCCTCTTTCTCTTATTACACGGGAAGCGTAAAACTTTCCTGTTTAAATCCACGTTCGAAACACGCACATCGACGAAGCAACTCGTCGCGGTTGAGCGCGAAATTGAACGGAACGCACCAAAAAGAAGAAGAAGAAGAAGAAAAGGAAGAAGAAAAATTCAAACAGTATATTCACTGACCGCGGGATCACGCATGCACAGCCAGTATCCGAAAAAAATAGTCGACTTCTGTTTAAAGTGATGAGCTCCTTGATCGATAGTGCGCCACAGACCGAACGACTAGGTTAGGTTCGCCTCCACAAACTCACTGACACACTCGTAACGACACGACAGACCAGGAGGCCGGTACTTGGGAATCGCCCACGTCTTTCCGTCCAGTCACACTCACCGATATATCTGTACTGGCGCCCTCTTCTTTTCTCCTTTATCTTCCTTCCTGCTTCCCAATTTCTTCTTTTCTATTTCTTCTTCGAACCGATCGATAGTCGATCGATCTCTCCTACCACAAACGTAACCAGTTAATCCTTCGTCACGAATCAACGTTCGTACGTGAAGAAACGTTTCCTCGTGAACGAACGATAAGAAGAGAAGTACGGTTCGATCCTGGGACATAAATGCGAGCGACGATAAGGCCGTTGACTTGTTCGACCGCGAAATTCCACGATGTACTAACCGGCAGGGCCGTAGAATTGAACGAACCGCGCGTTCACTTGCGCATCAACGTAGCCGCCACCTATAGACGCCAGTTTCCTTCGGATGCATGCGCATGCACTTTACAAATTTCACGCGGGTAATGCTTGGCGGCGCTCGGGATGCCCTGGACCAATGATTACCAGCGTTACGTGGAACAGGATTGAAATTCCCGATCAATCGGCGCATATCTTTCTTCGATTTATCCGGCACTTTTTACCGCGATCACGCGATTCGAAATTCGAATGGTAAAAATAAAGAGGATCGCGCGCGGTGATTTTTTTTTTAACAGTGCGTGTGCGTATACAAACGTGTGCCGTTTCGTTGGCAGGCTACAGTACGCGTATAATGCGCGGCCCTGTTCGATTCTCGTGATGGGCCGCAGTGTGGCATGCGGACCATTGGTGGGAGCGATCCAGAACCAAACCAGGCACGGAACCATTGATCCTGGAGCCATGCAGCTCAAGGCCCAATTGATATCGTGGGATTTTTCGTTTATCTAGATACGATCTATCGGTACGATTATCGATGTTACGCTTCTGGGCTTATCGAACTCGTTCCAATGAACTTCTGATTCGAAATCCCACTGTCGTTAAAATAGATACTAACCAGACGATTGTTGCGTAGTTTGAGATTTTTTGTAATCTATAGTGTATCTTCTTAATCGCGAAAACGTAGCCACGACATGTGTGCGGTTGCAAAGTTTGCAAAACGAAATGATAAGACAATTTGTTCTACAGGTATGCGTTGATAATGTTACATATAAATCGATAAAGTGATCTAGAAATAGCCCTGGTGATACTGCGCGCACGTCCATTGTACAGAAACAAAAACAAAGAAACAATCTATATCTGACATTACGTACTGCGTCAATTGATTGGAACTGCATTTTGCTTTTACCGAATTTTGAAGGCGGATTGATAATTTGGAGTTCTTCGTGGAATTTTATATCATAAAGTGATAAAGATAACGAACGGATCTATCTGTACCTGACATTCAGCGCTGAAGACGTAAACAAACAAAAACGCGCACGTGATGCTCTCGCATTTCAAACATACGTAAGCAGTGGGTGCAACATATCTATCAAGTGTATCAGAAATTCAAGGACTGTAATTTCGCGGTATGAACAGTAAAATGAATTACGTACCTTAACGACTAACGAGCAATGCGTAGATAAGATTCTGTATTTCTCGAAGACACCACGCGACGCAACTAAATTTCACGAATGTACGCTTCCATCCTTTCGTTTTGTACAGGATTCGACAACGTCCGAAGAGAAACCAGCTTTTTTCTTCGAGTAGATGAACCACATCACGTGTTCACGTAACCAATTCGCGAGATGATGCAAATCCGTCGGTCACATCGCGAGTACAGCAGGATACAAACGAACCGTCAGAAGGGCGAGGGTGAAACGCAGAAGGGGAAAAAATGGTAAGTTTCCAGGTGAAAGTCTAGGAGGAAGGGGGTGAAGCGGGGCCTTGAGACGTTACTGACACAAGCATGGTGAGTGGCGAACGTATGGAGGGGTAACGGAAGGTGAGGAACGTTCGCCGGAACGTATAGTTGAACGAAGAGAGGGATAAGAGTTACCACGCTATGTGACACGTGCGCGTGACGTCACGGGGCCGGTCACGCGAGCACCGTGTGCTCCCGGTCACGTGTCCTGTCACGCGCTCGCTCCATCTCCCTTCCCTTTGCTTCGTTCCTCCCCGCTGCATCCCACTCTCCTCACCTTTTATTTCTCGTTGCTTCTCCTCGTCCGTTCTCGATTGCGGTCTACGTGCCTTAACGCATTCAGCACGGATAAAGCCTTAAGGCTTCGTATCAAACCAGGTTAACCCGCCATCCGAAAGGTGCCTTAATACTTACTTGCAGCTTGGATGATAAACTTTAATGCCATCAAACAAACTGGATGAACTTGCTCCCCTGTCTGGATGGCGCCTTAATGTGTTCACAGTCTAGACCTGTTCAAACTTGATGCATCAGACTGGGTGAACCTGCTGTTTTTAGATGGTGGCCTTAACACGATCAGCCTGAATGAAGTCTTAAGGCGTCAAATTGAATCCACCTTCTTTAGTTTGGATGAAGTCCTAAAGGCATCATCAAATTGAATGCATCCATTGTGTCCAGATGGCTTATACATACGATGGTGAACTCAACACATTTATCCTAGATGAAGTAATCTTGGGATGTCAAATTGAATGCGTACCCACCCATCATCCAGATGATACCTTAAACACATTTAGTCTGGATGAAGTCTTAAAAGGCATGATCATCAAAATTGAATGCACCCATCCATCCAGATGGTTTAAAAAACACACCTTACTACTAGAGGCTGGGGGGGGGCGGTTTACTCTTCTGTTCCTTACCCTCCCATATATAAAACACGGTAACCCATCTTTAAAGCGCACCATACTCAATTTAGCTTGACCTCATTGATCTCATGGATATGGGTAAAGAACGTGTGGCTAAGTTTTTTGACGTAAAGGGTTGACTTCCCCCGGTCTGATGCCTTAATCCTGAACTCCTTCGGGATACAGTCTCGCAACAATGGATGCTCAATGCGGTCAGACGCATTCCGAGTAGTATGGGGCGCTGTGGTCAGACCGTCTTTTCGTGTCAGGTGCGAACTACTGATTAATGGCGTGCTACAATGAAAGATGCAATCTTTTAATTCTAATATAATAAAATCAATTCAAAAATTTATTTGTAAATATTTCTGTGTCTTACATGAGACATATCTAACGTCTGTAGATGAAAGATTTAAAGCTTCACCCAGACTGAATTTGTAACAATAAGTTCGCTATTTCTTCTTTCCTTTTGATTATATTGGAACAGCATACGATCACGGACTCGACAGGTATTTAGGTCTGTCATGACACGAGGACGCACGGTAAATGAGAGGGATTCGACTACGTGTTTATACCTGCGCCGTGCTGTTGCGTGTTACGAATCACTCACGCATACGCCTGACTATTCGAACGCTGCAAATTTTAATGAAAGGATTGAATTTTAATTATTCAGCATTCCACGATGACATTTCCCATGAATTTCACTGTTAGCATTTAAGGTAATTAATACGAAATCTAAATTTCGTATTTTTCCTACTTAAGCAACAAATACAATATAAATATTTTCACTGCTGGGTTGCATTTAAAGAAATTAATACGTTTAATGTGTTCATTTATGTAATATCCTGCTCGTAAAGCATTGGGTCAAAGATGTTAAGAAAATCGGGGCTATACCTTTTTATTGGTAAAACAATTTAAAAGCGCGCTACTTAAATAGTTAAATAATTGCTGCTTTAAATAATATATGCGATAATCACGATTAGCCGAGGAGCAAGCTTCGTAAGTAAGGCCGTTGCACGTGTGTATTATTAACCAGAAAACGTGGCAAAAGCGCGAAAATAGGAACGGTACTGCTGAGTTAAATTGACTAGAAAATATTAATGAAACTGAATCTTTCAACTATAATGGTTACTTTAAGCGACATACTTTCCCATTTTTACAGATCACCTGTGGAATCTAGATCTCGTTTCTATTATAGTCGATCGGACACGTGGCACGAGCGATTACGTTTGTTGATCGATCGTGTAACCGTATTAATACCGAAAAAGAAATTTCATCGTAAACGCATAGGAAGAATGCAGTTAACGATGCGGTTTTACCGGCCAAGATTTACGCATTGCGAAACATTTTTATGACGTTGAAATCCACAGACGGACTAGAAAGTACAAGCATTCGTGATTATGTAAACTGCAACCTGTCAGGTGGACACGTAATTTCAAGACGAAACTACGATCAACTTCGTAAACGGTACATAATGGAACAATGAAAAAGTACATTTATCTTTTCACTTTCGAGCAATTACACGAGGAATAAAACTTAACGTACGAGACACGTGTCGACGATACATATTATAAATTCTTCTGTGAACTCGTGCATCGTTCGTGGGAAAGTCTGAACTTTAATCGTAACCATTTAGAACGTTGAATAAGTTCAGTGTAACGAAAAACCCTTGTTTCTTAAGAGGACAAAGGGTTAAGGGTTATAGATCATTCCTTGCTTTTTTTCAAGCTTGAAGAGAAACGATGGGAAGTTCCTTTCTCTACATTACCCTTTTACCAAAGGTAGTTTGGTACCTACGTTGCGCCCACTTCGAGTATAAATACTCTTTTGGTTAAGTGAAAATGTAGGTAAAGATATCTTCCATTATTTGCCTTCGAGTGTACACTCAAGTGCAACGAAGGCTCTTTATGGTCAAGAGTGAAGCATAAGCCTCCCACCACTTGCCTTCGGAACCCAAAGAGAACCCAAGAGGTTAGGAAGAACCTTTTGTCTTCCTTAACAATTTCTTTGAACTAAAGCGAGCCTTAGTTGCACGTGACCGTACCAATTCCTTTGAAATGTTTTCTACTACCAAGAAAGTGAACTTTTTGGCTCGTTCCCTCTTTAAAGCGGCTACGAACTTGACGTATGCGCCGGTACGCGCGTAACGCGACCGATTCGAAAATAGACGTCTTATTTTCTGCACGGCTCGGGAGAAAATAAACGCAATCTGTGGCAACTCCGAGTTATTCTTGATCTGGTACATCGGTGCACGTCTTCGTGTCTCGTGTCGCCTTTTAATCGTCTTCGCAGCCTACGTGCCTGATCCCAATACGTAATATCAGTAGCCGTTTGAAGACGAAAACATTTGGTAAGAGCAAGTACGATAGGGTGTCGTTGGTTCGTTATCGTGATCGGATCTTTAACCTTTGATTCCGGATTCTGTCACGAGACACCGAGCAATTTAAATTCCTTCTAGAGCACTCGACGGATTCCTCTTTCGGCTGAAATCAAATTATGCATTGTACAGTGGCCGTGTACCACAGCACGCCTACGTGACTTTTAGATAGAACGACCGCCACTGATGGACACATGTCCATGAATATTCAATCGTGTTTTGCATGTTTTCATTCTCATTGTGTATAGGCATTTTCAGGGAAAATTGGGGAATATGAAGCAGGATATTTAATCAATCAGTCAGAATCTTTGAAAATTTGGTAAACATGAAAGAAATATTATTACAATCAGCACACATGCAGAAATTAATTAATTGGAATAGAAATATCGTTACATCAGGAAATATAATGTAAGTTAAATATATAATTTTTAAACGAAAATGTTTCATATGTTGAAATGATATGAAATGGAAAACTAAATTAAAATTAGGGGCTCTCTCCATGGTCCGCTGTCCGAAAGTTAATACCAAATGCATTACGTGTACTAAAATCTAAGAGAGTGTTATCATTATTGCAAGAAAAGATACTTTTGATTCGAAATATTGCAAATAACATACCGAATCTTATAATTCACTGGCTTGTATTCTTCCATCTTCCCTGCCCCAGCGAAGCGATTCAAATGGATCCTTTCAAGCGTTTCACCCTTCTCTCATCCCTTTATTCGTCTTTACGTAATACCTTGAGGAGTGCGCAGTTCGTGTTACGTAAAATCGAAGAACATTGAATTAGCAATGATGCGACAAAGTGAAATTGATGTAATCATGGTTTTAGAGAAGAATGAGACAGAAAAAACTTGAAAAAGAATATTACACAAGGGGTTGAGAGAAGCAGGTACGCGTGAAAGTAATTACGTCACCGTGATTGCATCGTTGGGTGCACCTAGGTGCTTCCCCTCGATTATCGTCTGAAAATCGCGTCGCTGAAACGTCCGTTCGTTTGTCCTTGACAAATTAGAACATTCGCTCAGCCGATGCATAATTATAACCGTTACTATAACGTTCCCTCCTTGCCCTGGATAGTTCCCCCGAAGAA